TCCTGGGAGATGGGAAATAATATCCCTAATTTACTGTGTGAAGAACATTTCCAAGCTCACACATTGAAGGAGGGAATGCACAGAAGATGATGGTCTTCTGAATTGAGTCTATGGAACGGAATTTAGGTAGGCCAAAGTAGCTAGAATTCATAATAATGAAGAAGAGAGACACATAGAGGGGATACTACACAAGCCCTCAGGTTTATACTGTCAGCACATGTGTGTGAAGAACTCTGATGTCAGGGATAGAACTACTCAAAGAAGTAGAGGGAACAGTCCCCATACATCACATAAGTCTGGGATTATTTCCTGTTTCCTCCTAACAGAATGGAAAACCTTATAAGGAACAAGGCATCAGGTAGAGAACTCAGAAAGTAAGTAAGGATATACCAAACCAATGTGACTTCACTGACATTTATGGAACACAACAACTAACAGCAGCAGAATAGACATTCTTTCTAAGTATACATGAAACATTTACCATTTATATAGTGGGTTATAAAACATTTAAAAGAACTCAAGAATGTTATTTGACCATAATAGAAATAAATTAAAAATAAAAAATAAAAAGACAGCTTTGCAATTGCCAAATACTTGGAAATTCAATAATAATTCCAAAAAAGAAAACCAAGAATCAATGGAGAAGTCAAAAGGCAAATAAATTATTTTGAATTATCTAAAAAATGATAACACTATTTATCAGAAATTGTGTTAAGGTGCTTCAGTAATCCTTAGAGGAAAATGTTTAGCACTAAATGTCTATATTGGAAAAGAAGTCTCAAATCAGTGACCTCAGCCTCCACCTTAAAAAATTAGGAAAGAGTGCCTCCCTGGTGGCTTAAGGGGTTAAGACGAAGCTTGTGAGGCTGTCCTGCAGCCTCTGCAGCACGAATTCGATCCCTGGCCAGGGAGCTACCCATATGGCGCAGCAGACCTCACCTGACTCACCCACTGCTCCCCTCAGCAGTGTACTTCAGTTTATCTGCCTGTTCTGTTCCTCGCTCTGTCTCTGGTGAATCTTCTCACCGCGCCTCCCCCCCCCCCCAACCTCTGGCCTGCCAGGACTATTATACGTTATTGAGGCATATGGGAACAAAACTACTATCCTGAAGATTAAAAATATCTAATCTCCTTGTCTTTCAAAGACATTCAGCACTGTCTTCCTAATAAGTGGGGCCAGAATTTGTTTCTATGCAACTCTATAAAATGCTCATACTTCCAGGGAGGTTGCTCAATAAAGTAGGTATCAGGATGTCTTCCTGTAGTATATAGTTGGGAAGCCATGTAAACACTGTCAGCTATTATTTGAAAATCTAAAAAGTCAGCCATAGTTTGGAAAAAAAAAAACCAATCTCAAAGGGCTATATTTTTCTGATCTTCTGACCTAGTAATTCCACTTGTAAGAATCTATATTACAGAAAAAAAAAAAATCCCAGTATGGAAAAAGAGATATATGTATATAATTTTTTTAAAAATTTTTTAAAGATTTATTTATTTTTATTTATACAAGCACTGGGTACAGTCAGAAGCGCGGGAGGGATCCACTAGAGCCAGAGCGGGGAGCAGAGCAGGCAGAAGGACAGAAGTACACTGCTGAGGGGAGCAGCGGGCGGCAGGAGAGGTCTGTGCGCCATGCGGGACCCTCCTCCGGTGGCCGGGGAGCAGCCGGGGATCGAACCGGCGTTTCAGAGGCTGCGGGCAGCTCGCAACCCAGCGCTAAACCGCTGCACCACCGGGGAGGCCCTATATGTATATAATTTTTAAAAAGAGTATTATTTAGAATATCTGAAGGCAATCTAAATATTAAACCTATAAGAGAACAGTTAAGCAAATTATGGTATACCGGGCCTCCCTGGTGGTGCAGCAGTTAAGCGCTGGGTTGCGAGGCTGCCTGCAGTCTCTGCAGCGCCGGTTCGATCCCCGGCCACTGGGCGAGGGTCCCACATGGCGCGCAGACCTCTCCTGCCACCCACTGCTCCCCTCAGCAACGTACTTCCTCACTCTGCCTGTTCTACTCTCCGCTCTGGCTCTGGTGAATTCTCTCACGCTCCCGCATCTCTGACTGTACCCAGTGCTTGTATAAATAAATAAATCTTTAAACAAACAAACAAAAAAATTAAGGTATACCTTCCTGATAGAAGACTACATGGATATGAAAAGGATAGTTAGAAAGACCATCCAGCAATATGGAATGTTAAATGGAAAAATATACAAAATGACTTATGATAAATATGTCAAAAAACAATAGTAAGAGAAGTGACTCACACCATGTTGCTAACAGTGATGTTATAAGGATGGAGTTATTGTTTTCTTCTTGATTTCTAAATTTTGTGTAGTCTAACTATATTATATTTAATTCTAAAATTAACATTAACTATTAGGGTATGGATTTTTGAATAAGAGACGGCAGGAAAATGAGAGAAGGGAGGAGTGATTAATAGAAAGGCTAACTGGGCCACTAGAAGCAATCCAGTTATATTCAGTTGTGTGTATGTTCCAGTTAGCCATCAGTTGACTAACTATGTATATTAGTGGATGCTTTCCTTTTGATTCTTTTTCCTTTTCTTCCCCCAACCCCACATTGTACCACGGAATAATACAGAAGACAGAGAATAGCCAAGGAGCTATAGCTCCTTCCTTATTCCATATGGTAAATAGAATGTATATTAAAAAAAATTATTTTCTTAAGGCTTTTTACACTGTTAATGTCTAACAAGAATATTAACCATGTTTTCCAAATGAAAGGGAATTCTAAACTTGATGACTAATGCTTTGGTTGGCATCTATGATGGAAGAAATAATTTGGTCCCCAGAATGTGTATTTTTGCTTCATGTTCCTCAGCCAGCTTGCTTTCAGTGTGAGAAAATACAATTCCCCAAATATTTCAGTGTTGTCATTTTAAAACAGGTTGAATAAATGTTGGAATGTCACTAAGCCATCGTATCTATATCTCTCCTTGATTTATAAGGAGCCAAAAGAGGGAAGACTAGGCTTGGAAAGACTGATTCTAGAGACGAACAGAGGGGGTGGGACTACACAGTGGCTACATGTCTCTGGATGAGCTGATGTTGTTGGAGCATGTCACAAATATCCCATGTATTCAACACTTGCTATCACTCAGTATATTCGTGGCCAGACACTAATAGTCACGTCTCCTTCTGTCACGAGCCCTTCTTTAGCACCTATTAAAATTCTTCAAGGCCTATCTCAAATTACATTTCCTCCATGACACAAACTTCTTGTCTATTTTTCTAGGTGGTATTGAGATTTCATAATCGCATTTCACAAAATCACGAGACTATGGAGCTGGAGGGGGGTCTTAGAATCTTTTAACCTAACTTTGAGATCCAGTGAGAAGTGGTATTTTCCAAGATGAGTTTATACCGATGAGTTAGGAGTAATTTTGAGTTTACCACACAGTAATACCATGTATCACTAATATTTATGAAAGGTCTGTTGACTTTACCAGCTTACAAGTTCTTTGAGAAGAGAGACTACAACTTGTTCATCTCTGATTTGCCCACAAGTAGGCACAAAGTCAGGCAATAAGCCCCTGCTCAGTGGATTTAGTTTGAAAACGTGCTAGGAAAATGCTAAAGGAAAATGCTAAAAGTGTTGCTGAAGAAGCCAAAGCAAATCTGCGCCTAGAATTTGCTGTCCATCATAAATTCTGTACAACAGAATAACCTGAAGTAGAAGGAAAGTGTGGCTTAACAGATGCAATAGGAAGAGATATTTCATGACACTGAGCAAATTTATTACAATGAAAACTGGACAAACTCTTCTAATCCCAAAAGAAGTGATGTGTGTTTATTTCCCCCAGCTGAATTACCATTAATAGGGAAATAAAAGACTGTCAATAATTGTTTTTCCTTAAATGTACAACACTACACAATCCTTTTTAAACATGCAAATGTACTCCCACTAGAAATCAGAATGCTATGTGAAAGAACTGATAAAACTCCCAGGAATGTTTCTTAAGATTGGGTCAGTTTTTCCAGCAGTTTCTTAAAATTTGGTCAGTTTCTCTATCTAAAGGCCACAAACCCTGAAGAGGCATTATGGACAGTTGGGAGAGTCAAGTTTTAGCTTTTCATTTGCTATTATTTTTCCTATCCTTCCATCCAGCCATTCTTTTTTTCCTTTAACAGATGTTTATAGAATACCTACTATGTACCAGGAACTTTGCTGTGCAGAGCACAGTGAGACAGGAGTGAGACAGGAAGACAAAGAAATTAATTCCAGAGAGGAGGACAGACAATAAACTAAAGAAAACAGAAGACAAACAAAGACTTTAGTAAATGCCATAAAGAAATATGCAGGATGAGAGAGGTTAACTGGTGGGGAGGTAGCAGGAATTACTTTAGACTGACCAGCCATGCATCCTATGTCCCCCATGAGTATCAGGTACATCACTGAGCTTTTCTGGTACTCAGATTTCCAACATGAAAGACTAAGGTTGAACTGGATGACAGAGCAGAAAAGGCTCTGGACCTGAAGTAAAAAAACTTAAGTTTAAGTTCCGGCTTTGTCTATAAAGCCAGAGCTGCATTTTCTCCCTGATAAAAGATACTGTGAGCAGAATACAACAGGCCTTGCAAACAGAACAGACTAAGCCACAGAGTAAGGGTGCTGTGTTCCTTCTCCTGCTTTAAGATTGCTTTCAACTGGATTACTTTTTGCATGCTGCTACTCCCAGACAAGGAGCACACCTGTCTCATGAAAGAATAATGAGTTTGGCAAATCAGTACTGATAAGCCAACTAGTGGTAACATATTCCTCACTTCACATCAAAAAATAACTCATGATTTTTCCCCCTCCTTCTTTCATGCACTAAATTTAACACAACCAGTGACAGGCTGAAGAAAAACCTATCAAACAACTAACAAAACCACTATTTTTTTTGTTTAATTTTGGTTTTTTTTTTTTGCTTGCTGACATAGTCAAAGAATAGCATCCTTCCATGACAGTCCATCATATCGAAGAAAAGAAACTGTACCGAGTGTAAAGTGCCATTATTGGTCACTGCTGGAAGGCGGGCCCATCGCTCGTTTTCCAATTCTTCCATTACTTGGTTCATTGCACTCTTTAGCCATGTGTCCACAGAAACACCAATCTGCTTAAGCAGGTCCAGCCGGGCTTCAGCTTTCAACTTAATTATCTAAGAAAACCAAGAAAATGGTCAGGCATTTTTTCCTCTCAAATTAATTCCATTAGTTATTCTTTGCTTCTTAATTAGAACAATCTTGATAGTCACTAGTGTAGTAAAGATGTCAATTTTTCACTTGGAGAGAAAGATTAGGATGGGGTAGGGGAGGAGTAAAGTAGGGAAGGGGAAAAGGAAGAGGGAGCACAAAACAGGAACCAGGGTTGCTGACAAGGCAAGCAGTACACATTTGACAAGAGCACAGTACTGATGACACACCAAATATGACTTACTAATAGGAAAACATTAATGTGCCATAAAGTCTGCATTCTTTTCCTCTAAATAAGGCTATGCCTCAGAATATCTGAAATCTAACATTTTCAATAGCATTCGAACCTATCTCCTAGACTGTTTCTTCCTTTATAACCATCTTTTTTTGCAAGTCTGCAAATGGTCTCATTATGACACTCCCCTGCTAAAACATTCTTATGACTTCTGACTCCCTATTGAGTAAAGATTTTAAGTTAAATTATGATGTAGTGGTCATAAAAAGGGGATATTAGGAATAAAAAGTTCTTATTCTCCAAATTCCAGATAGGGAAAGATTTCTTGTTCTTTGACTCTTGTTCCAAGCCATAAGCTAGTAACAACAGAGTCAGTTTAAAGATGTTCAAATCAAACTGTATATTTCCTTAAGAAAATATTAGTCAACTGGATACTGCAATATATACAAAGGAAAATACATCCTGATTAAATATGATTTGCCCCAGAAATCCAAGGTTGGCTTAACATTAGGAAACCAACCAATGTAGTTTACTGGATTATGAGACAAAAGGGAAAATGAAATGATTGTCTAAAATGATTTGACAAAATTCATTATCTGCATTCATCATTAAAAAACCCCAACAACAATAACAAAAAAACTTAACCCAATGAAGAACATTTACCAAACATCTACAGGCAATATTATATCTAGTGATGAAAGTCTAAATGTTTCCCTCCACATGAAGAAAAAGACAGGGACGATGGTGTTTACCACTTTTATTCAAGAGTCTATTAACCAGTGCAGTAACACAAGAACAATTTAATAAGAGGCAAAAAAGATTAGAAATGAAGAAATAAACCTGTCTTTTATGACTGAACACAATTATATAAGGAGATTGCCCTTTGGAATCTATCAAAAACCTACAAGAATAAATGAATTCAGCAAGCTCATATGCATGAGGTTAATATATAAAAATAATTTTTATTGCATATACAATCAATACTATAAAAACAAAATATTTGGGGATTAGATTAACAAAATATATTTAAAAACCTTTACACCAACGCTGAAAAGCATTATAAAGGAAAATAAAGAATGAAGAGAAATGCTCTGTGCATGGGTGGAAGTTCTCCTCAAATTGACTTAAAGAGTCAAGTATAATCCAATCAAAATCTCAGCAGTTTGAGATATTTTTTGTAGAAACCAATAAATTGATTAAAATGAGAAGCGCTCATACAACTTGGAAAATAACCTAGTAATTTCCACTAGTATTGATGGAAATCAAAATAGATATTCTAAGACAGATGTAGGGTTAACTAAATTTCACATATATTCAAAACTGAAATGATGGATCTAGAATCATGGTTTTGTCATATTCAATATTTTTGGTAAGAAAGCTATCTTTGGGGGCCTCCCTGGTGGTACAAGGGGTTAAGACAAAAGCACTATGAAGCCATCTGCAGCCACTGCTGTAGTGGGAATCTCATTTCATAATTTCAGCTTTAAGCTAACAAACAGGGTGGTTTAGCACATTCATGGAAATAACGGGTCATTCGGCCCAAGTGCGGACTTTGTGTGCCTGATACCTACTACTGCTATGACTGGGACTTTGGTGGAGCCAGGGCACCAGACAGTGACGCTGTAGATGGAGTCTGGAAGTGGAAAACACCAGCAAGAGCAAGGCCTTCAGAAAATTTCTGAGATTTGCCATGTTCCACAATGGCTCCAGAACTGGTTTTACCCAGAGTTCAGGGGAACAGAGAATAGGAAAAACTCTTCTACACAAGCCAATGTTTCTTTCTCCAACTAGTCAAGGGCCTGCCAACACCATTTGGCCAACACCTGAGTATAGTGGTTTAGCCATGACTCTGACAGGAAAATGGCTATTTATTGTACACCTGCCCTCTTCACTATAGATGCTGATCAGATTACTCCAGTAATGAAGGCGAGTTGGGGTTACTGGTGTTTCTCTAGACCAGGTAGACAACAAGTCTTTTCTGGTTCCAATCACTCCCACAGGGTTGTGTCAAAAACACGCTCACATTCCCTTTGTTTGCCTTTTCCCTCAACTGTATAACCAACAAAATACTTCCTCAAAATCTCTGGAGGCCTGAGAGGGTATATGAATGTCACCGGTTTAGATCCTCAACCAATGCAATAATTTCTTATATGGAGTAGCCCCTGACAGATGTTTGCCCCAAATTCTCTTGTACAGGTGGGACTATATCCCAGGACATTTATTCCGTCATTGGGCAGATCTGACTGTTAGAAGATACTTCCCAACACCAAGCTCAAGTATGCCTCCTTCTTATTTTCATTTTTTGGTTCAACTTCTGGCTTTTGAAGCTGCATGGCATAAATTGGTGCTATCCCTTTGTTGCTGAATAGTACTCCTCATTACAAGTCCTACCTCTTCTGTGTTACCTACCCTAACTATTCCTCCCACAGCAATCTCTGTGTCTTCTGGGTCCCTTAAGTATTAAGTATACTTGGGTAGACTACTCCTTGGCACTTCTGTTTTTTATTTTTAATAGTGTGATTAAAAAAAAAATTATTTATTTATGCATGTAAGAACTGGGGTGTAGGTCAGAAGTGCAGAGGATGAGAGGATTCACCAGAGACAGAGTGGGGAGCAGAACAGGTGGATCTACTGAAATATACTGCTGAGGGGAGCAGCAGGCAAGATAGGAGAGGTCTGCTGCGCCATGTGGGTTAGCTACCTGGCTGGCGATAGCTTAATAGCACTGAGACTTTAACCTCTGTGCTACCAGGGAGGCCCTAAATTTTTATTTTTAATTAAGGACTACTGTTCTAAATCCTTGTTAGTATTTTGACAGAATAGGATCTCCTCCTTCAGGTGTAGACATTGCTCTCCCACTACCAAAGTACCCACAGCCTCCACCTTACCCCCCCCCCCCTTCTTCCTTTCCCCTTTGGATGCCTCAGGTCCAAAGTCTATGATTTATGGATCTACAGTCAGCTTTCAAAGGCTGGTTTTAATGTTTGTCTTTGTCTAGCCCTATTTGGTTTCTCTGCATTCAGTATCTTTCTCCTCCTAGCATTTCTATTTTATGGTCTTAGTTATCTTTGGAATTCCTTATATCTTCATAACAAGAACATATTCTCCGTTGAGGACTGGACAGTCTCATTTTTTGTGTTTATTTATTAAAAATAAAGTTGCTCCCATCCATTATATTACCTTGACCCTCTAACCCCACGTTAACCTCAGAAATCCCACTTCATTTACTAATGTTTACTAGTTTTTGTAAGTATATGACTTTGCTGAATCATCTGCTATGTAAATGTTCAATACTTGTCTTTGTCTTTCTGACTAGCTTTATCAGACGTAAGTTCCACAGACTCCTTCCATTTTGCTGTAAATGGGAGCATTTCATTTTTCCTTATGAGTAATATTCTCTAGTGTGGACCAAGACAGTCTTGGCCTTTTAAAAATGTCTATTTTCACATCCCCTTACCATACTGCACTAGGTAGGTAACTATACACAAGTGTACACAGGTCCTCCATGAACTGGACCTAACAACCACCTCTCTTATCTTCTACATTTCTTTACAAAAAATCCTCTACTCTAATCAAGTCCAACTACCAAACCACAATCAATGTTTCCATCCTTTGCAAATAACTTTTCTTTCCATCTCAACCTCTCCTCCTCTTGGCCAAGGATTTTTCTTAGGCTAGGATAAATGAACTTCTGGATACTTTCTGTGTGTAGAAAGGTTTCATATAATCTGCAAAAGATTGCATGACCCCTCAAAGGATTAAAAGCCACTGTTGTAAGTTTTGTGAGGGCTTAACTTAAGTCTTCTTCTGAAAAGTTCAGCTTATGCCCTTGGATCCAATAACTTCCATATGGGGAAGACTTTTCTAGGCTCTGAATATATATTTATCAATTGTTATATTGTTAATTTGACCAATTTATTACGTACTTTGTGAAAACTTTAAAATCTTCATTATGACTCAATTTCTATTTAATGTTTCCTGATTGTAAACTCTTTGTAGCAGGTTTAGGGTCATTTTGTTATGTGTACTATCTTATACAAAGCAGGTACCAAGGGCCTCCTTGGTGGCGCAGGGGTTAAAGACAGCGCCATCAAGCTTATCGCCAGGCACTGCAGCATGAGTTCGATCTCCAGCCTGCCAGAGAGAAACCCACATGGCACAGCAGACCTCTCCTGACTCGCCCGCTGCTCCCCTCAGCAGTATATTTCAGTAGATCTGCCTGTTCTGCTCCCCACTCTCTCTGGTGAATCCTCTTACCCCCACACACCTCTGGCTTACATCCCAGTTCTTGTATGCATAAATAAATAAATCTTAAAAAAAAAAAACAAAAACAAAAAACAAAGCAGGTACCAAAAAAGAATACTCTGGATATACATAAAGAGTATGAGTCATTTTCAAATTAATCAGTGTACAGAAACTGAGTTCTAAAAGGGCACACCACAACTGTTATACTGTTGATGAAGCTGTGCAAAACACCACAATTAGCTGTCATCTCACCTCTGCTTTACGAATATTTTCTCTAGCTTCATCTATTTTCTGCTCCAACTCTGCTCGGCTTTGCTCTGATACTGCAACTCCATGACATTCCAGATCATCTAGAACCTATAAAAAAAAAGGGAAAATAACTGCTTCCTCCTTTTCTTTATTTCTTAAGTGACTAGAGTATACAGATAATTCAAAAAGCTTTAGTGACAAGTAGCCACAGTTCCTTTTTTAACCTATTTTTTTCATTTATTCATTTGTAATTAAAAAAACCTCTGGAATAATCACAGACTCACAGGAAGAGTCTCTATCAAGTTTTTCCTAATGGCCCCTACTTACATAATTACAATAAAATATAAAAACCGAGAAACTATATTGGTACAATCTGCAAACCTTAACCTGGATCACATATTTTGATGTGCATTTCTTTATCTTTTTAAAATTACTCAACTATGAAGTATTTTTACAAAACAGCAAGATATGTAAAATGTCAGTGTCCCCTATATCTGCAGACCCCGTCATGTACCCTCCATTAGCCTCTGTCCTATCATTGAATGCATATGTTTTCAAAGCATTTCTTATATATGACCTACATACTTGTAGAAACAGAAATTTTGTCATTTTAAAAAATAATGAAATGAGATCTCTGCTTTAGTATGTCTCAGAAATCTTTTCACATATGTATACAGATTGACTTTGTTCTCTAATCCACAGAATTAAGTTCAACTGTATCATTTTATTTACTCTTATTCTCTTGTTATTTATTTTCAAATTTCTTGATTTATAAATAGCAATGTATAAATAACCTTGTCAATGACGTTCTGTTCACATATGGGAATACTTAAAATAAGAGCACAGATGTAGATATTGTACATTTAAATTTTAACAGACGTTGCCAAATTGCCCCCAAAAGGTTGCACCTTCACTTTCACGAGTAGCATATAATAAAGAGCATGTTTCTCTATATCTCACCAACATTGGGGATTGTCAATCTTAGAGACTTTTGACAATATGGTATGTAAAGATTTTCTCATTACTTCAATTTCCATTTCTCTGATTAATAGAAAGAGCATCAATTCATATGCTGCTGGCTATTAGTTCTTTTTCTCTTATTTATATTACAAACATTTCCTCTTATTCTAGTCCTTTTCTCCTGAGTTTTAAAAGTTCTTTTGTTTTACCTTTTTTTTTTTTTTAGGTTTTCTTTTAAGTTTTCAAATGCGTACATGTATCATTCTTTTACTTTATGGGCTCTGTGCTTTGAGTATTGTTTAAAAAGTCAGCCTAAATATACCAAATATATTCTCTATTTTTCCAGCTCTAATTTGGTGTTTAGGACTTAGCTATTTAATTCTTCTGAAATTCATTTTGTGTTTTTTTTTTTTTTTTTTTGCGTAAGTATTTTATTTAAAGATTTATTTATTTATGCATACAAGAACTGGAGTACAGGCCAGAGGTGTTTGTGTGGTGGGGGGTGAGAGGATTCACCAGAGACAGAGTGGGGAACAGAACAGGCAGAATGACTGAAATACACTGTGGAGGGGAGTAGTGGGCGAGTCCGGAGAGGTCTGCTGTGCATGTGGGGATCTCCCTGGCCGGGGATCGAACTCGTGCTGCAGTGGCTGCGGATAGCTTCATAGTTTGCGTCTTAACCCCTTGCGCCATCAGGGAGGCCCTGCTTAAGTATTTTAAGTAACTTCCAGACAGTGTCACTTCACTCCTATATGCTTTTAGTAAGTCTCTGAAAACTGGAAAGACATGTTCATACATGTGAAACATTCACATGTATGCTCTTATATATGAAAACATAATGACCTTTACCTAATATTTATTTATTTATTAAAAAAAAGATTTATTTGTTTGTTTGTTTGTTTGTTTATGCATGCAAGCACTGGGTATAGTCAGAAGCGCGGGAGGGTAAGAGAATTCACCAGAGCCAGAGCAGGGAACAGAACAGGCAGACCGACGAAATACACTGCTGAGGGGAGAAGAAGCGGCAGGAAAGGTCTGTCACGCCCATGTGGGACCCTCACTGGTGGCCGGGAATTGAACCGGTGCTGCAGAGGCTGCGGGCAGTTTCGCAGCCCAGCGTTCAACCGCTGCACCACCAGGGGAGGCCCCCCTAATATTTAAACATCTGGTTTTTTTTCATTAATACGCTAAGTTCTTCCACACACTGAAAAGTAGTGGTGATGATGTAGTAGACAGAGTGGTCTCTGAAGGAATTCACACACTCACCCCTGAAACTGTGTGTATATAAGATATAATTTAGAGATATTAGAGTTACGGACCTTAAAAAAGGGAAATTATTCTGGTTACCTGAGTAAGTGCAATTAAGCACATAGCCTTTTACAGGTAGAGGATTTTCTCTGACTGGAGTGAAATGAGAGACAGACCAAAAGGGCAGTCAGAAAAATTGCAAGCACAAGAAGGATTAAGTGCACCATTACTGCTAGAACTGAGATGCAGAGTCCATGAACAAGGACAGAACAGAGGCTTCTAAGATCTTAAGGTAGCCCCCAGGAAGGAAACAGGGACCTCAGTGCTACAGGAAGGACCGAGGAACTAGATTCTGACATTTTGAATGAGCTTGGAAGCGAATTCTGCCCCTGAGGCCCACCCACCTGACACCTTGTTAAGCTGAGGCAGAGATGATCAGCCAGCAAGCCCATCTAGATTTCTTGATTTATAGAACCATGAGATAATAATTTGTATTGTTTTAAGCCACTGAGTTTGGGGTTATTTGCTATGGAAGTTTTAGAAAATGAATACAACCATCAAGTATAATGTTTTCTGTAAATTTAGGAGGATATCCTCATCAGAGTTAAAAGTCTCAATCCAGCTGACTGGGAATTTTGTTTTTTTTATTTATTTATTTATTTATTTATTTATTTATTTACTTATTTACTTATTTATTTATTTATTTATTCATCTATCTATTTATTTATTTATTTTTAAGATTTATTTATTCATGCATACAAGAACCAGGGTACAGGCCAGATGTACGGGAGGGTGAGAGGATTCACCAGAGACAGAGCAGGCAACAGAACAGGCCGACTGACGGAAATACACTGCTTAGGGGAGCAGCGGGCGAGACGGAAGAGGTCTGCCGTACCATGTGGTTATCTCCCCGGCCGGCCGGGATTGAACTCGTGCTGCAGAGGCTGTGGATAGCATCACAGCACTGTGCTCAACCACCTGTACCACCAGGGAGGCCTTTGTTTTATTTTTTAATCATTAAGGGATAATAAATTTTATCAAATACTTTTTGGGCAACTATGAATATAATTATAGAATTATTCATCTCTACCTTGTTAATAAATATATTGATCAACTTTCAATGCTGAATTATCCTTGCATACTAATAAGTCATAAATTTAAAACACAGCTATATGAAATTTTACTATTTATTATCTTACTGTTGTTTATCATCTTTACAAATTTGTTACATTTTTGTTAAAAATCAAATGACTACCTATGTGTTTATTTCTAGACTTTTTCTTCCATTCATCTTCCATTCATCTATAAGTTTATTTTATACCAACATATCTTGGTTACTATAGGTTTTTTTTTCTTTTTTAAAACCAGAGAGAATAAGCTCTCCTACTTTTTCAAAGTTGTGTTGGCTATTCTAAGTAAAATGAAAATGACTAAACAAAATGGACTTAAGCCAGTACTATAATGTCTCAATTACTGTAGATCTGTAATAAGTGAAGTCACGAAGCATGAGTCCTTCAATTTTCAAGACTGCTTAGGCTATTTGGAGTTCCTTGAGATTCCATACAAATTTTAGAATGGGGTTTTCCATTTCTGCAAACACACTGTTGGGATTTTGATAGCAATTGCTCTGACTATAAGACATTTTGGATGGTATTGTCCTTTAATTTTTTAATTTTATTTCTTTTTTTAAAGATTTATTTATTTATACAAGAACTGGGGTACAGGCCAGATGCGCGGGAGGGTGAGAGGATTCACCAGAAACAGAGTGGGGAGCAGAACAGGCAGACTGATGAAATACACTGCTGAGAGGAGTAGCAGGTGAGACAGGAGAGGTCTGGGTGCCATGTGGGACCCTCGCCGGCCGGCTGGGATCGAACCAGCACTGCAGAGGCTGCGGACAGCTTCACAGCACGGCGCTCAACCACCTGCACCAGCAGGGGAGGCCCGGTATTGTCTTTTTAATACTATCTTCCATTCCATAAACACAGGATGGCTTTCTACTTATTTGTGTTAAATAATTCCTTTCATCAATATTTGATAATTCTTAGTGTATAATTCTTTTTCCTCCTTGGTTAATTTTTTTCCCAAGGTGTCTGAATTTTTTTTTTTTTTTTAAGATTTATTTATTTATTTATACAAGCACTGGGTATAGTCAGAAGTGCGGGAGGGCGAGAGAACTCACCAGAGCCAGAGCGGGGAGCAGAACAGGCAGAATGACCGAAGCACACTGCTGAGGGGAGCAGCGGGCGGCAGGAGAGGTCTGTGCCCATGTGGGACCCTGACCTGGTGGCCAGGGATTGAACCAGCGCTGCAGAGGCTGAGGCCAGCTTCACAACCCAGCACTCAAGCGCTGTGCCACTGGGGAGGCCCGGTGTCTGAATTTTTTGATGCTGGTGTAACTGAAAATGCATTCTTAATTTCCCTTTGGATTGTTATTAGTGTATAAAAATGCAATAGATTTTTGTGTGTTAATTTTGAATTCTGCAACTTTCCCAAATTTATTAGCTCAATTATGTGTGTGATTTTTAGGATTTTCTTTATGTCATATAATTTGTGGCAGAGAGAATTTTGCTTCTTCCTTCCCAATTTAGATGTCTTTTATTTCATTTTCTTGCCTCATGGTTGTGATTAAGAATTCCAGTACTATGTTGAATAAAAGTGGCAAAGGGAACATCCTTGCTTGATCTTGGATAAAACACTTCATCTTTTACCATCGAGTATTGTTGCTTTTTAACAAATTGATTATAATATGCTTTGTTGTGATTTTCTATGTGTTTTATGCCTCCTGTGGTTTGTATAGCTCCTTAATTTTGTGGGCTTACTGTGTTGTTGTTTTTAAATTTGGACAGTATATGGGCTCTATTTTTTTCAAATATTTTGCTGACTCTTTTCTGTCTCCCAAAGGAGTTTCTTCTTAACTCTTAAAGTATGATAGATCCTGTATCACTGGGTAGTTAAGTTCAGGTAGTTTCTATTCCTATCTTTTAAGCTCATGGTTATTTTATTTTGGGGGTAGTAGCTACTCTAATTTTTCACATCAAATATTATATTTTCAGATCTAGGAGTTCCACTTGGTTCCACTTGGTTAGCTTCCTTTTTTTCCCCACTCAATATGCTCATTTAAAAAAATAACTGAGCTTATTATTCTAAAGTCCACATCTGCTAATTCCATCATCTTTAGCAATTATGGTTCTGCTTTAACTGACTTTTCTTTTGGTTATGGATTATATTCTCTTGCTTCATTTAATATCTAGCAATTTTTACTTGATTCTTGACATTGTAAATACTATGTTGTTGAAAGCTGGATTTTGTTTTGTTATTTTGAAGAACAGTAGATATTTTTCTGGCAAGCAAAGAAGTGACTTGTGATCTTTTTGAAAGTGTTTTTAAAAGTTCTATTAGGGGGCCTCCCCGGTGGCGCAGCGGTTGAGCGCTGGGTTGCGAAGCTGCCCTCAGCCTCTGCAGCGCCAGTTCGATCCCCGGCTGCTCCCCGGCCACCGGGGGAGGGTCCCACATGGCGCACGGACCTCTCCTGCCGCCCGCTGCTCCCCTCAGCAGTGTACTTCGGTCCTTCTGCCTGCTCTGCTCCCTGCTCTGGCTCTGGTGAATTCTCTCCCACGCTTCTGACTGCACCCAGTGCTTGTATAAATAAATAAATAAATATTTAAAAAAAAAAAAAAAAAAAAGTTCTATTAGGTTAATTTCAAAGTAGCCTTCTTCAAGAGTTAATTTGGCCCCATTATCACTATACGATCCCTCTGTGGTCTCCTGAATATCCCATGTGGTTGCTGCTAGAAAGCAGTGTTGCTGCTAGAGAGCTTAACTCAGGTTGGTCAGAACTTGAATATGTTCAAGTTTCCTATGTGAGTTCTGGGAATTATTCCACTTTTATCTCCATTGTCATTCTTTATCTAGTATTGTAGAATTTCACCCTATGCATTTGTGGTTCAGTATTCAGCAAGAGACTAAAGGGGTGATCTATTTAGATTTTTGAAATTCTTTCTCTGTATCCCCTGCTGTTTGGCACTGTGTCCTAAAAATTTAAATCACATCAGCCTCTCTGAACTGTGACCTCTAACACCTCCACTCAATGAGTCTGTTGTTCCGCTTGAGTTTTCTCCTTACACTGCAATATGGAAAGTGTCTCTAGGCAAAAAGGCTGGGAGGTCACATGAGAAACTTCATTGCTTTTTTCTCTATCAGGTTCTACATTCCTGTTATTGTCTGTTGTCCAATGTCTGAAGATATTTGTTTCACATATTTACACCAGGTTTATAGTTCTTATATTTAGAAGGGTAAAGTGTGATCCCAGTTGCTTCACCACAGACAAAACCAGAACTGGTTTTAATGTTGGGAAAACTTCATTTTAATGATTTCATTTTAATACTTTAAGTAGACCTTACTAGATTAATGCCTACCATAGGTCATACTATAAAGAACTGTAAAGGTTGTTGAAATCAGTCTCTACCTCCCAGCAGAAAGATACAACATGTTTGGACAAAAGAGAGAAGAACCAGATTTATTTTTAATATCTGAACATTTACTTTTAAATACGTCAAGCATTCTTTTGTGTGTGTGTGTGTGTGTATGGGGGGAGGGAACTCTTTTATGTGCTTTATATTTTAAAGTATAAGGGCATAGTAATTAATCTCATCACTGTTTATAGGATATGTGGGATATGGGCCTTGTCTCTGTAGTTCATAAAATCTTTGACTTAGATAAGCTCTGTTAGAGGAACTGCACCAAAGCAGCCTTATCTGCTTTCAAATCTGACACAGATGACAAGATTCTGAATTTCAAGCTAGAGTCTGATGCCTATAATTGTGTCTCCAAGAAATCTGTCTTGGAGATGAAAAGTCTAATTCAACATATGTATATTTCTTCCATGGCCAAAAATAGTATAATACGCTATCACTAGCCGCTCAGACAATACTATCTTTTTGAAAAATTATTTTTTTAAATTGAGATATGATTCAAGTACCATAAAATTCACTCTTATAAAGTGAATATATAGTTTAGTGGCTTTTCATATATTCACAGAATTATGCAACCACTACTGCTACCTCATCCTGGAACACTTTCATCACCACAAAAAGAAACCCTGCTGTATCCCTTACCAATCACACCTCATTTTTCACTCTTTAACCCCTAGAAACCATTAACCTACTTTTTGCCTCTCGATTCTCCTATTCTGGATATTTTATATATATATATTTTATATATATATATTTTATATAAATGGAATCATCAATGTGTGTCTGGTTTTTCTCACTTGGCATAATAGTTTCAAGATTTACATATTGCTACATATTGTAGAATGTACTTCATTCCATCTTAGGCAATTCTCTTGCAAGCAGATAAATTACAGCGTTGCTGCTAGAGAGCTTAACGAAATTTCCAAGCTAAGGAGATAGCTGGTATCATCCTGTTGAGTGCTGAGAAAGTGTAGAAAAGAAAAACATATATAGGATATTTTCCATATAAATAATTGGTTTGATATTTGGCTTAATGTAGTCTAAGACTCTCTATTATACTTACCCGTTGTTGGTGAATGATGTTTTTGTGCTCCCGTGCCACCCGTGTGGCCCATTTCCGAGCCTCCTTGTTCAGACTGTGTTCCTCTGTGGTCCCAGTTTCTGATTCTAACTGTCGGCTCTACAACACAAGAGAGAACAGAAAGAAAAGTATTGCTCTCCTTATTGAAATGACTACCATTCTGCAGGTGGACCACTGAGCCTTTACTTATCAGCACTCAAAACATGACAGCGGGAAGCAGTGTCTCATGTCACAGAACATTTGTAGAAGACTAGGAATCCAGTGTGAAATCATAAACGACCACAAGTCTTTTGTCTTACATCGCTGAACATTAAAGCTTCATCTTTAGTACTTGGAAAATCCATTTTGGGTGTGAAGGAAGCTAGTTTAGCAAAGAAAAAAATATTCACATCAACCCACTGTGACACATAAAGTTGTTGCACAGCTAAAAGATGAAAAGCAAATTAATGCTTTCAGTGGAATTAGAGAATCATTGGATAGAAGTGAAAAGAAAAAACACAAAATAATCCTACCATAGTAATACAAATCTCTCTGGCCCTGGAGATACTGGGTTTAATTTAGTTATAGGTTCATCATCAACTTACCACCAAACCTCAAACTAGCGTTTGTCCTTCCTCTGGGTTTTAATATCTTATGAAAGATAGGGGGTGTTAGATTAAATGATCACTAAGGATTTCTTTTTGGTCTTTTCAGAAGCAGAAGGATCTTTTCCTGGAAAATAAGTGTTAACTGAAACACAAGCCTGTGCTTTTCAGTACTGTTTCCTCCGATTAGAATAATTTCCTTATCTTTTTTTGTCCACTTACAAACTACTACTCATTATTCAATCTCATTTCACATACTATAGTCTCTGTAAAATCTTCCTTGACCTTTTCAGACAGATTCAGTAGTGGCTTTACTTTTGACATATCTCCATTATATTAATTTATTCACTTGTTGAAAGGTTAATGTCAAGCAACTATCACATAATACTGTGACTACTGTATGAATATTTCCTGTTTGCCTTTAGACAATTTGAGGGCCCAAGCAGTACTTAATCTCTGCATTCCTGGCAGCTAGCGCCATGCCTAGGAATACACAGAATGCCCTCAGAGTAGGTTGATTAAACAACTACAGCCCACTGTCCTGATTCCAAAGCGAGGGCCAGGTCACCAGATTACTAGAATGGTGCTTTCAGAGTGACAAGAGAATAAATATATCGTGGAGAATCAGTTTCCAACAGATGAAGAAAAGATTATTCTGTGTGGGGAAGAACAGAATAAACAGAAGAGAAAAGGAACTAATTTATTGAGTGCTATAAATTTTAATACAAGTTCTCAAAACTCAATTTAGGATTGAGATTCCTCTTCTAGTTGTACAATAAGAGACTTCTTTCTCCATGTTTAAATTACCACTAAAAATTCATTTAAAATAGATGACCGAGGAAGGAAATTTTTTCAATCTCCAAATTAAGGGATTTTTATGACTTTTATCTTAAGAAATTTATTCGCTCCTTAAAAAGTAGCCATTGAAATCTAAAGTACATTTACTCCTCAAATACATTTACAGTCATAAATTTGCTCTTTAGAGAGTCCTAGTCATGTCATCCTAACTGAGAAACTTAACTTCCTTTCTGGACTTCCCTTTTTTTTTTTTTTTTCACTTGAAATCAAGACATCTATCCCTATATTCAATTACAGTAGCATTTACAATAGGCAAACTACAGACAAAATCTGTCTAATGATGGATGAATGGGCAAAGAGGTGCTGGGGACACACTCAGTGGCATACTATTCACCAAGAAAAAAAACTTGCAATTTGCAACAGAATGGATAGACCTAGAGGGTACTAAGCTAAGTGAAACAAGTCAGACAGAGAAAGACAAATATTGTATAATTTTTTTCAGGTAGAATATAAAGAAAAAAAAAACAACAAATGAACAAATAAAACAAAACAAACTCTTAGATGCAGTGGTTACCAGATGGAAAGAGGGTTGGGAAGTGTGGGTAAAGTGGGTAAAAGGAGTCAAGTGAATGGAAACTAGACTTCTAGAAGGGATCATAATGTAGTAGTAACATAAAGGTATCAAATTATAATGCTGTACACATCTGAAGTTTGTGAATATTACAAACAAAATGTTAACTCAAAAATTTACTATATTAAAAAAAACAAGAAATCTGAAGATAAGATGAAATCTCAGATTTTTATTAGTGCTGCTGTTAATTTTAAAAGAACAAATAGGCTGATGCATTGGCTGTAAGCAGTGGGTACACTGTTTCTCTGGGTCAGACCTGGAAATTACGCTATTCTACTGCTACTGCCTCTGTGAGTTCCACATTTCTTCTTTAGTATTATTTTTTAGTATTTATTTGTTTACTTCCTTGCATCATTGTAGTCCCCATAGTTCTCCCAGTGAGTTCCACATTTCTTGTTAATATATCTGAAAGCCTAGCCTGGCTCCAGGACAGAAGCGTCTGTAAATTTTTAAAAAATATTCTTCCAACATAATTTTAATGCACCTGGGGTTTTAAATTTGCAAGGACTAATTTAAAGAAGCACTGTAGATGGACAATATAAAAACAAATTATTTAGTGAGTAGTGCAGGATGTCACATTTCTGAGATGGTTAGGGACTCTAGGTATCACAGAAAATAATGACATACTGCTGAATTAGAAAATGTTCAAATTCTAATCTATATATTGTAAATTTATGTATACAAAGTTGTGTATCCACCTCTATATAAGGATGTAGCTGTAGAGAGATGTTCAGAAGGATTTTGACCAAAATGTTATCAGTGGTTACTTTTAAACAGTTGAGAGTTTAGGTGAAATCTTACTTCTTAATGCTTTTTTATAATTAGAAAACTATAAAACCACATTAATTTTGCAAAAGAGTATCATTTATTGCATTTGCAAATTCTGTGTTAAATGCTTTACATACATTATTTCATTAGTTCTTTTTATTTTTAAAGATTTATTTTTATTTATTTATGCATATAAAAAGTGGGGTCAACACCCAGTTCAGAGGTGTAGGGGTGAGAGGATTCACCAGAGACAGATTGGGGAGCAGAACAGGTGGATCTACTGAAATACACTGCTGAGGAGATCAGCAGGCCAGACAGGAGAGGTCTGCAGTGCCATGTAGGTTAGCACCCTGGCAAGGATGGAATTCATACTGCAGTGGCTGGCAACAGCTTGACAGTGCTGAGACTTTAACCCTACAGAGACCCTATTTCATTAGTTCTTAAAACAATCCTAAGAGAGAGACTACTGTCTATTTATAGGTGTGGAAATGTAGGGTCAGAAACAATGTTTTTCTGGAAGCCACTAAGCCACGTAGCAGTGGATCTAGGGCTTGCAGTGAGATTTGACTCAGATTCCTTGCTGTGTGATTACATTGTCTTACTAATTGTTCTTTTTAGCTAGTGCTAATATTGTTAACATAAGGATAACAATATTGAAAAAGGCATTACTGGGTAATACAAATTACCTTTCAGTGAAATTCTGGCTAGGCTTTTACTTAGAAGTAAGGTATCTTGTGATTTAATTTTATTTTTAGAAAATCAAATGCCAAACTGTTACAAGTGAGCTTACGGTGACTTTTAGAGTCTAGCAATGTTAACAGATTTTTTTAAATTTCCAGTTCTCTTAGAATAAAATATTAAAATGTAGTCTTTTCAAAATTTATGGAGTTATTAAATGTCTGCTAATAAATGTCTGTTAACATAAAGGCACAGACACGTGAGCATGTGCCTAGGAGGGCAAATTAATAAGGGTAGGAAAGCTGACTTTCACATAAGAACCACTCATTATTTTTCACGTCTATAACCAAAATATAACAATTTGAGAGACAGAAAAGGAGATGGCCATGTAAGATGAATGAAAACCATAATAAGATACCGGCATTCCAACCCAATTACAATTAAAAAAAAAAACGCTAGGGCTGTTAGGTGAACGTCATATGCTAGGAACAATCTTATTAACCCTCATTCAAGGGACTTGTACTTGTTTCCTTTTTCAGCTCATTGGTAGATATTATGCATCCTGTTAAATATTTTATCCATTATACTCTGTGAAATTCAATAATACATTTTTTTTTAAGATTTATTTTTAAATTTACTTATGCATACAAGAACTGGGGTGTAGGCTAGAGGTGCGAGTGGTAGAAGATTCACCAGAGACAGAGTGGGGAACAGAACAGGCAGATTTACTGAAATACACTGCTAAGGGGAGTGGCAGGCAAGACAGAAGAGGTCTGCTGTGCCAAGTGGGTTAGCTGCCTGGCCCGGGATAGAACTCAAGCCACAGTGGCTGGCGATTTTACACAATAGACAACTGTGGCTTTTGAAAAAACATTTTGGTCAATACCTTTTGGTGTCTCATTTTAAAGCATGATCAAAGTAATCATATATTGAAATAAAATGAAAAGAAACTTGTATTAATCAACAGGTAATAAAAATCCAAAAAGAAAAAATGAAAAAGAAAACCATAAACTCCCAAAGGGTACAATAATTTTAAAACTTAATTAAATCCTGATGGTAATACTGTGACTATATGTTTTCAACTGAATGTTTTGAATTTCTGTAGGGCAAATATTAGAATTTGAAATGAACTTATTATTTTCCCCCTAATTTTAAGACAGTTTTAAGAGCTATATTTTATCATGGTAGTAACTTTAAAAAGACCTATGGCTTTCCTAACTATATCTTACCTAAATCTAGATCAAATATTTATTGAGTACTCCTTTATGTAATACAAAGATCTAGACAAAATACATATGATAAATATCTATTAAGTGAATGAAAAAAAGAATGTGTTAAACCCAAAAGCAGTACATCCTTAATTTAAGTTATAAAATTCAAAATAAAATTAAGGAATATCTTGCAGGGGACTCCATCCTCATATGATGAACCTCATCATATGACCGTCTTGCTTGAAATCATTCCATTGTTCTCCATATATAACCATATATAAAACCCAAATGAAATCTGCCTGCAACCTACATTGATGGTATCATTTAGCTTGCCCCCTGCAACTCCTATTTCAGATACAAGTAAAGAATTTCTAAACTTTTCTGGCTCCCTCATGTATTAGCTGAGTGATCTTCAGCAAATTTCATTTATTTATTTGTTTGTTTTTTATTAATGATGTACCATTATTTTACATCCTTGTTTGTTTTTTTTTTTCACAATATAGGCTTTCTTCACTCAGGTGTGGTGACCATAGTTTACCCACCACCGAGACACCCATAGTCCTCCACCATAATCCACTGCACTCTACCACCCAACCCTACATTTTCTCCCCTCTCCCTAAGGGAAGAATGAATACCCTCCTGGATTTCAGCAAATTTCTAAACCTTAGTTTTTTCAACTGTAAAATAAAGATTAAAAATAGTACCTACAGGGCCTCCCTTGTGGTGCAAGGGGTTAAGACGCAACCTATGAAGCTGTCCGCAGCCACTGCATCATGAGTTTGATCCCCGATCCCTGGCCAGCCAAGGAGCAACCCATATGGTGCAGCAGACCTTTCCTGACTCGCCTGCTGCTCCCCTCAGTAGTGTACTTTGGTCAATCTACCTGTTCTGTTCCCCACTCTGTCTCTGGTGGATCTCTCACCCCCCCACACCTTCTGGCCTGTACCCCAGCTCTTGTATACATAAATAAATAAAAGAATCTTTAAAAAAAAATAGTACCTACAAAATAGGGTTGTTGCGAAAACTGCATGAGTTAATGTATGTAATGCAAATAGAAATGTATCTAGTGTGAAATAAATGTCCAATGAATGTCATGGTATTAGTCATTAGGTTAACATAAATCAAAACCACAGTGAGGTATTATTTCACACCCATTAGAAAGGCCATAATCAAATAGATAAATAAAAAATGGTGGCAAAGATGGAGAAATGAGAAACCATAAATGCAAAATAGTGCAGCCTTTTGGAAAAAGTTGGCAGTTTCTTAAAAACAAATTTATCAGCAACTCAAAAGAAATAAAAATATATTGATACAAAGACTTGCACACAAATGTTAAAGGCAACGTTAGTAATAGCCCAAAGTGGGTAACAACCTAAATGTCAATCAACTGATGAACAGATAAATAAAATGTGGTATATTCATAATAGAATACTATTCAGCAATAAAGAGAAACATACTCGATACATTCTATTACATTAATGAACCCCAAAAACATTATGTAAGTGAAAGAAGCAAGACGTAATAGACTACACATCTATGAGATTCAATTTATGTGAAATGTCCAGAAAAGGCAAAACTAAAGAAAAAAGATAATAGACAGGGATGGGAAGGGACTAGGACTTAATAGTAAGTGGACAAGAGGCCTATTATTGGAGTCAATGAAAACATTCTAAACTTTATGATGATGGTTGTACAACTTGGTAAATTTATTTTAAAAAAATGTATAGTACACTTGAAAATAAGTGGTTTTTTTTTTTTTGGGCCTCCCCGGTGGCGTAGCGGTTGAGCGCTGGGTTGCGAAGCTGCCCGCAGCCTCTGCAGCGCCGGTTCGATCCCCGGCTGCTCCCCGGCCACTGGAGGAGGGTCCCACATGGCGCGCAGACCTCTCCTGCCGCCCGCTGCTCCCCTCAGCAGTGTACTTCGGTCCTTCTGCCTGTTCTGCTCCCCGCTCTGGCTCTGGTGAATTCTCTCACCCTCCCGCGCTTCTGACTGTACCCAGTGCTTGTATAAATAAATAAATAAACAAATCTTTAAAAAAAAAAAAAAAAAAGAAAATAAGTGGTTTTTATGGCTATAAAGTTGTAACAAAACTACACTACATCAGTATGCACTAAATATATCCAGCACTGGACACCAATAACATGCTATCATGTACAGTATTTGCCTTTCACCTATTTGTGTATGTATCAGTGAGTTCATGTCATATGGGGTCTGAAGCTCAACATGTAGTTGCTGTCCTCAGCAACTTCTGAGTTACTGGCACCTACTGTTGGGGCTTAGTGTCTACTGAATTGAAATGTGTTTCAAAATGGGATAGAAACAACAGCAATTCCAGAAGACAACAGAAGACAGGGTGATTTGTCTTTCCTACATGCCATACATCCACATGGCAGTAAGACTGAATGAATGGGCACTGATTGGTGCTCCATCCATGATGGATTTCGTACTACCAACTCCAAGGGGAAACCAAAAGAGCAAGCAGACAATGGCTCCATGATGAATGAAAGAGCAGTACTAGTCTACACTGAGAAAAAAAAAATTATTTGGGACTTTATTCTTTGTGGGGAGTAAGAATATCTACAACATCAATTACACAAAAATATTTTAAAATATTTCAAAATGATTATTTGAAAGACCTTTCTAACGGTTGACAATCTGGCATGATTTCAATGAAAGTATAGGCATTCGTATTTTTCCTTGACAAAAAAATTAATTGTTCCCTGAGTGCTAGACATTTCTTCTCAGAAAACAGAATAGCATGCAGAAAGAACATTACTATTGGAAACAAGACAGTTAAGTGTCATTAATTCACTGTATGACTCAGGACAAGTCTCTTTTCCTAGGTTTCAGTTTCTTTCCCCTTTAAAAAAGGTAAGATTAGTGCTAAAAGTTTTTTCCGGCAAGTCCTGTTGAGGAAAACTAAGGTTTTCATTAAGCAAAAGCTATTTCAGACAAGATGGAAAAAAAATAAAGAGATTCAACTTTTCACTATAAACAGGAAAGGAAATCCCTAATTCATGAGAGAAAATGGAAAGCCCCAGCTGAAGCATTCGGTAGCCCCAATATACACATGCGTACACACACGCACGCGCACACACACAGCTTTTCCCCCAATACTGGGTCCCACCCGTCATTAACATGCAAACCCACACATCCCATCCCTCCCACCTTTGACCCCCATATACCTCAGCTATGGTCATTCTCAGAGCACTGACAGGGGAGAGCTCAATATCCACCAGTTGGGCGGCTTTTAAACTCTGCCCAGTAAAGATTGCACAAGGACAGAAAATAGCATAGAGTTAGAACTTAAGGCAAACAGGGACACACAGCTAAGAACATTTAGCACAGTGTCTAGAAACAAAGAAGGATTTAGAATTGTAGTTGGTCTATGGACAAAGGAGATGAGAGTCACTGTCAATCTGATTCTTTTCTGAGGAAAATGAGCAAAGATAAAACAATCTCAAATTAGTCACATTTTAACTCAAGCGTGGCAATTTTACCAATATCCTGGATCTTCTATTGCTCTGCTTCATTTATCCCAGGCTTCAAAGAAGTCAAATTACAGGACCTTGTCACTGAGACATTAAGCAAAAGCTGATTGATTTAAAAAAAAAAAAAAAAAAAAAGCACTACTATAAAGGACCAGGGTTATAATCTAGAGGGAAATGCTGGCTTCCTACATTCTTAACACAGCCACTAACAGGGCTACTTAAAATTTGGTAATTATAATAAAAAAATGATATCTCCATCAAAAGTTTCTATTAAAATGATAAAGTTAAACTGTATCAAAATTCTGGTTCTGACTCTAGGTTATCTAGACTATATTAATATAAGTTGACTTCCTTCTTTCTTATCTATGCTGAGAGAATGTACTAAGATATGCCAAAATGTGTGTCCTCACCTTGTAGAAATTAAATATATTTTTATGTTATCAAATTGGCATATCAGCTTTTAAAAATCAAATAATGGCAAACATTTTTTCATAGAGTAAATTTAAGGCTGAAAATGTATGAATAATGTCTGCTTTCTAAAAGTTGCCAACTGTGTCAATATTTTAACATTCTAAGAAATATGAAAGGAATTATAAAGAGCCTGTAAATTTTTATAAAACCAATCAAAATATTTGCACACACATTTTCATTATAATATTTAATAATTCTATTTTGGTTAAAATTTAATCACTGGTTTCTTTGGAAGGGAATATGTGGTAAGAGTTTTATGAGTGAAGAGTATAATTTATATTTGAGTTGAAAACAATTTTCATTGAATCTTTTTTCTTCTTTTCTCAGTTCAGTTTTCAGATTTTCAGTAACTTGTCACAACTCACCCCTATTTAGTAGAAAGCTGTTAGCATAAAAATACTAAATATGTTAACATTCTAGAAAGAGGAAATGTCAGTTTCTCTGTATCCTGTTTTATTATACAATTAATGATAAACAGCTTTTTCTGTCTATTTCAAGGATAATGGTTTTTTGAACACAAAGCTTGAAAACAGATAAAATGAAAGTCTGAAAGTCCCTTACAGTATCACTGTCACAAGGCTGGAACTGGAAGGGCTGGGGTTTGTGGAATACAGCATTCTCTTGCAAAAACAGCTGAAGATTATAGTCCCGTACCACCTAAAGAGAAAATAAAATATCTTTAAGTCTTTACTAAGATTAAAAAGTGCCATATTTATATTTTAAAGTGAATTATTCTGCAGTTTTCAAAAAATAAGAAGCCAACCAATACTATGTTGTCAAAAAGAAGTTATAATTACACATTTTTTCCCTTTTAGATAGGTTGTTACTCAAGCATCGCAATTTCTCAAGAATCTAAATTTGGAAAGTACTAGTTTAGAAACTAGCCTAGATTTTGGGATTAGACAATATGTAATATTTTTAGTGAGCAAAAAGAGCTATTATGCAAAATACTATTCCTTTTTAATGGAGGAGGTACAATTATGAAGCACATTAGTCTCATAGGGCTCTCCTAGCTCTAACCTAGTCTGTGCATCTCTTGAAATCTGTTCTGTGAAGACTGATACTTACTTATTAGGAAACTGCCAGAGAAACCTATCCATAATCCATAGCACAAAGTAATATTCTTATAGTATGTCTTGTCACTTTTTCTAGGTTACATTCTATTTACCACCTTAAAGCATAATAAGAAGACCAAATTTTAAAGAATTTATACAAAAGGTAAATTCCAATATAAAGAAAGTGGCAAAACAAGTAGCACAGAAAGAAAGCCACCTGAAAAGAATTCATTGAATTATACGCCCTGGGAAGAAGTAGAAATCAGCAACATTTGATAGTGCAGAAATCCATTTTCTATTTTGCTGCATTGCTTGCTTTTACTTATTTTGCTGCACTGCTTACTTTTACTTTTACTTATCTTTGCAGTATATTTACAGTTCATTAGCACCTCTGCCAGAGGATGGGCAGAATAAGGGAAAAAAAGTTTTAAGCAGCTCTGTAACTATCTTTTAATAGTCCTAGGAAAAGATTAACTGAGGAAATGGAGAAAGAAGGAGGTGTATTTTGCATTTTATCTTCCAGCACAATACCAATTCTCTATTGTTTCCCTGCCCCTAATTCAACAACTGACTTATGGAGAGAGTTCACCAGGTCCAATGTTCAATGGAGGGATGGGGGAAATATTTATTATTTTTTTAAAGGTTTATTTATTTATGCATACAAGAGCTGGGGTACAGGTCAGAGATGCGGGGGGGGGGGGTGGTGAGAGGATCCACCAGATACAGAGAAGGGAACAGAACAGGCAGACTGACTGAAATACACTGCTGAGAGGAGCAGCGGGCGAGACAGGAGAGGTCTGCCTCACCATGTGGGCTGCTCGCTGGCCGGTCGGTGATCTAACTCATGCTGTAGAGGCTGTGGATTGCTTCACAGTGCAGTGCTTAACCCCTTGCACCATCAGGGAGGCCCAATGCGGGAAATATTTAGAGAGATGAATAAAGATTAATTACCAAGGTTAGTATCTTCAAGATAGACTGGCAACTGGGAGAACCAAAAAGGTTACAAATTAATAAATGCTATGGAAGTATAAAGAGGGTATTCCAAGAGCACAAACAAGGAGGATATTTAATCTACATTAAAGAAATGGGATGGAATGAGGAGTGGTGGGGAAAATTTGATCAAGGAAAGATGGCTGAATAAGCATATCTGCAAAGGGAAATGTGTTTTGTTCTTTTCCTGGATTGCGGATTTAAACTAAAATAGCTGTGAAAGCTCTGGACACAGTCCTCAGAACCTAACTACTCACCATGCAGAAAAGCTAAAAGGATCATCCTTCCAGTTGCCAGACCTATCCTTCCAAGCATTACAAACCTGTTTTTGTTTTAGTTTTCTTTAGGGGGAGCTTTCAAACATTTAAAAATTTTAACTATCTGCTATGAAAAATTTCAAACACATATAAAGTTGAGACAACAGCGTCATGTATCCCCTGCCCTCCCCTCCCGCCAATTGCACCCCTCCCAGCCCCATGTACCCATCACCCAATTTCCAAAAACATCCCTTCATGGACCATCTTGTTTCATCTATAAACCTACTATCTCTTCCACCCCCAATTATATACTGAAACAAGTTCTAAACATATCATTTCATCCATAAATATTTCCCAAAGTATGATATCTGAAATACAAAGGCTCTTTCAAAAACATATTCATGTTGAAATTTATAATAAAGTGGATGGACTGTGGGTGCCTTGGTAGTGGGTGCGATGTAGTAACAATACCTGAAGGGGAACCTAGACCTAAAACATAAATAATAATGCAAATTAAAAACTCAATAAAAAATAATACTTATAAATTAACTAATTTTAAAACTCCCCTGTTTCATATTTTTAAGGTTTTCTAAAAAAGGTCAAAATAAAGCCAGCACAATGCAGCAGGATGAAGTTGCTTAGGTTTCCATTCATGTATCGATTTCTTCCTCTTATCTCCCCCATGCAATCTATCTGTAAAAGAAACTGGATTTTGGGCCTCCCCGGTGGTGCAGTGGTTGAATGCTGGGTTGCGAAGCTGCCCGCAGCCTCTGCAGTGCCGGTTCGTTCCCTTGTTGCTCCCAGGCCACCGGAGGAGGGTCCCACATGGTGCGCAGACCTTTCCTGCCGCCCGCTGCTCCCCTCAGCAGTGTACTTCGGTCCTTCTGCCTGCTCTGCTCCCTCCTCTGGCTCTGGTGAATTCTCTCACCCTCCCGCGCTTCTGACTGTACCCAGTGCTTGTATAAATAAATAAAAATAAATAAATCTTTAAAAAAAAAACAAAGAAACTGGATTTTGGCATGGTAAAATTTCTTTCCCACAGTCTGACTTGTGTTGGTTGAATACTTGGAATGTTCTGTTTCCTGTATTTCCTATAAATTAATGCCGACTGAATTTGGGTTTTTGCTTTTTGGTGAGGTGGCACTTCAGGAGGAGGCTTGCCTCTGACTTGCTTCTTTTTATGATATTAACAACTACAGTGGGCTGAATGGTGGTTCATGTCCTATGTGTTGTCTACCTCTTTTGGAAAAAGGGCCTTTGCAGATACAACTAAGTTAAGGATTTTGAGATAGCAGATAATTCTGAATTCCTTGGATCTAAATTCAATGTTAAGTATCCTTATATAAGACACACAGAAGAAAACATAAGAGGAGCCGGGTGTGACCACAGAGACAGATTAGACTGATGAAACCACAATGCAAAAAATGCCTGGAGCCAATAGAAGCCAGGAGATAAGGAACAGATTCTCCCCTGAAGACTCCTGAGGGAGGAAAGCCCTGCTGACATTTGATTTCAGAGTTTGGCCGTCTGTGGTTTTGAGCCACACAGTTTAAGTGTGCACAGTAGCCGAACTAGTAAAACATGTCTATGATTGGCATTTCCCTGATAAGTGATGAACATTTTTTCATGTGCCCACTGGCCATCTGATTCTTCTTTGGAAAGTGTCTACTTAGAGTCTTCCTGTGTTTTTAGTTTTTGGGTTTTTTTTTAAAGATTTATTTATTTATGCATACAAGAACTGGGGTGTAGATCAGAGATACAGGAGGTGAGAGGATTCATCAGAGACAGACTGGGGAGCAGAACAGGCGGATTGATTGAAATACACAGCTGAGGGGTGCAGTGGGCGAGACACAAGAGGTCTGCTATGCCATGTGGGTCACCTCCCTGGCCAGGGATCAAACTCAGTGCTGCAGTAGTTGCGGATTGCTTCATCGTGCTGACACTTAACCCCTTGCACCACCAAGGAGGTCTTGTCTGCCCATGTTTTGATTGGGTTTTTGCTTCTCTTTTTGTTGAGTTGTGCGACTTCTTTGTAGACCTTGGATAGCAGCCTCTTGTGAGATGTATGATGTGCAAATATTTTCTCCCATTTAGTAGGGTGGTTTTTGGTACCATCTTATACCTGTGAGAATGGTCCATATCAAAAAGTCCGGAAACAACAAGTGTAGTCAAGGATATGAAAAAAAGGGAAGCCTTGTATACTGTTGTGAGGAATATACAATGTTCTGGTCTGGTCCCAATGGAAAACAGTATGACGTTTTCTCTAAGTATTAAAAATAGATCTACCACACAATTTTTTTTCTATCACTCTATAGAATTCTGACAATCTATTTTTATTTATTAGCTGGAATGCTTCTAAAAACCAAACTTTTCAACCATTCAGTTAGCTTGAGATGCAGACTGTATAAGCAGGATAAATGCTTAATTTTTTTCTTTTATTATCTAGATTCAAATTGAGTTGTTTCCCTGGCTACACCAAAGAATGACTATTTATAGCTTGAATAAATTATTATTATAAAGTCATGGATTAAAAAATATTGAATGTCTTCATTCATTGTCCTTATCATTATTCTTCCTAAAATTCCTATCTTTGGCCCACAATATCACATCCTGAGTGCTTCTGACATGACCTAGTAGTGTTTGATAATTTTGATAGTTTCTTGCTTTCTATTATGACAAAATATTTAAGGTTTCATGCCTCTGATTTAGATTCAGTCCTGTTTCTGTGTTTTTTTAAAGATTCATTTTTATTTATTTATCTCTTCTCGGCCTTCTGGCTAAGATCAAGTGTATTTTTATTTATTTATGCATACAACAACTGGGGTGTAGGCCAGAGGTGTGGGGGTTGAGAGGATTCACCAGAGACAGAGTGGGGAACAGAGCAGGCAAATCTACTGAAATACACTGTTAAGGGAGCAGTGAGCAAGGCAGGAGAGGTCTGCAGCACCATGTGGGTTAGCTCCCTGGTGGGGGATTGTAATTCATGCCATTCCGCAGTGGCTGGTGATAGCTTGATAGCACTGAGATTTAACTCCTGTGCCACCAGGGAGACCCTGTTTCTATTTTTTTGTTTTTAATGGTATAGTCATTATTTATAGTCTCCTTTTTTTTTTAAAGATCTATTTATATATACATACAAGAACTGGGGCACAGGACAGCGGTGGGGTGGGGGGCGGTGAGAGAATTCATCAGAGACAGAGTGGGGAACAGAACAGGCAGATTGACTGAAATACACTGCTGAGGGGAGCAGCGGGCAAATCTGGAGAGGTCTGCTGCGCTATGTGGGTTGCTCCCTGGCTGGGGATTGAACTAGTGCTGCAGTGGCTGCGGAGAGCTTCACAGGTTGCGTCTTAAC